GCGGTCAGTTTTCGTTAGGTATTATTTATATTTACTTTTAAATTTTGAATTTCAAATGATTTCTGATTGCATGATGTATAATGAACGATCACGATCACGAAATCCCTATGAAAAAAATCGAGGATCCTTTTCCTAAAGGGAGTACGTTGAGATATGGCTGGCTATCCTGCCATGCAGTTTCATTACGTAGCAAAACCTATAATTGGCGGGTCCCGAAGCTTCTATTATCATAATGCTGTACTACCCAATTTGATTCATTTACATTTTTCTATCAACATAATTAATATTATAATTCAACTATCACATGATGGTCTAATAGTTAACGCAATGGCGGAGTTAGAAAATTTTCACCGGGTGGGCTAACTTAAACATTCAAATCTTTATAAACAAAAAAACTTGATACTGTATTTTTTACATTATCGTCTAGCTTAAGAAAATTTTCAAAAGGTGAACCAATAAACAAATACGTATTAAAATTCAAACAAATCCAAACTTGTACATGTACATGTACAATAAGCAATTAGAAAAATGACGAAACAAAAAGAGATGATTTGTAAACTGTATTATATAATTTTATATAGTTAAACCAAGAAAATTAGGATTAGTAACTAAATATATGATGGGCTATATTCGAAAATCATTAAAAATTACATGTAAAATTTTAATTTTTTTATTGAAAGCTACCTGGGCTATAGCCCAAGGTAGCCCTTAACATGGCTATGCCATTGAGTTAACGACAAATTTCAGACCTGTATTTCATACGATACGTATTGGGTAAGATTTCTGGTGCTGATAAATTACACAATGATGATTAGGAAGAGGCTAAAATACCTTTGTGAGTCTTCTCGACGCTCAAAGTGAATTGTTGTAGTGAAGCCACCAACTGGTCACCTTTTAAGAAAAAAAAATTAAAATTGTTATTCACATGTTTTTTTTTTGGGTAACACCGAGGAAATATGGTCACTTGTTAATTTACTATATTTTTATTTACTATATGATCCGGATTGACTTCAGTATAAAAATTGGGTATGTTTTTTTTTTTTTTCCTTCTATCATTTGAGAGAAAAAAACATAACTATTATTTTAATTAAAATTTTAGATAAATACTTGACGATGATATTCTTTTCGTTATCCGTCTCCTCTCTAGGTCGGACCCATCGTGTCCATGAAGTTGAGAACGTTACGTTTTATTAATTTGAAGCTCTGAAGCAATATCCAATTTCTCATCCACATCCAGTGGCTTTGCTTATCTCCTTTTACAAAGTATTGAATATGCCCGGCAACTTGATTACCAAATACAAACGATCAACTTAGCTTTTCTCAAAAGCACAAGCCAATACCTAACAAATTTATCCAATAAAACTGCAAATTTGCAACTGTGTGATGATGATCAAAAGGATGATAATATGAATATACAACCACAACTCCATGACCAAATTTTCAATAGATGGGAGATATTTTAGCCTTTCTTTGTACATTGTTTTCAGTTAATCTCAATAACATCAATTTATTTTCCATAGGTGTATAATTTAACTATAATATTTAAGATTTTCAGTTAAAACAATAAGGAAAGTGCTTGATAAAATGTCCCCCAATAAAGTTTATTTTTGTAAAAGTCTCCTTATAATATTTAAGCTATTAACACAAATTCAAACTTCAGTCGTCGTATAAAATTGTACACTCATTTACACATAAGATTATCTTTGTGAGCCATACAAATGAAACATAAACTACGATTGAAAGTCGTCCTAGGGAGGATATGATAAGTTTCAATGATAAGGCAAATCGTTTAAGGTTCACCCAATTAACAAATGGAAAAGGGCCAAGGCAGGCAGTTTCTGGCTTGTTTGGATTAGTATGCCACGTTTCGTTGAGGCTTATCTTGATTGGCAGTCATCCCAAATTGTAGGTTTTTGTGTGCCCCATGGTGTCCAAATATGCCTTGGTAGTTGGCTCATATGGGACCCTTGAGGTAACTTTGCGGTCATTCGCGAAGAGATAAGGCGTTAGTGTTGCCTCCTCACGTAAAGAGTCGATCTCACCAAACCCTAATGAGTGTGCCCATCTGATCCATCTCTTCATAAAACGGTTTTACGATTTTCTACTTACAATTATTTTGTATGTATGTTATATTTTTTTGTGGTGATAGTATTCATATTAATATTGTGTGAGAAAATAGGACCAAAAAGAAAAGAAAATTAATTAAAGTTACGATAAAAAAAAGATAAATAAAGAAAAAAAAGGTGCACCTCATCTAGAAGGGTTTTGAAGTTATAGCTTTGGTACATCAGAATCGAGTTTGAACGAGGACCACACGAGTCTAATTTTCAATATCATGACTCATCAGCCATCAGTGAGTCTTATGATGTGATCAGAGGTCATATAAATTAAGCTAAAATGATGTTGATTAGCAGAAGCCATCGAAAGTTTAATGTTTATCACTTATTCCATGTTATCCTCAATCTGGTTTTGGACAACCACTAAACTATATTTCAATTAATATTAAATTAAGTCAAGTTTGTTAATAAAAGCAATCATATAATATAATAAGCATGCAAAGGTAATATCGAGAAACATATTAATGTCTTAAAAAAAATCAGTTTAACTTATTACGTTGTCAAACTGACAACTAATGTTAAAATCATATGTTATTACGTTGTCATGTATTTTTTTTATTTAAATTTTTAATGTATGATATTAATATTATAATTTAGTTACATAACATGCAAGATTTATTCCGTCATGTAGAACACCAATTTGGACATCCACATCACTGCTCGTCCGTGTCAATTTAATACAAAATTTTCATTGGCCAGAATCATTGACACATAATCTTCCAAAATCTGTGTGACAAAGGTTTTTGTGGTTCTTTCAAACATGTTAAATAGTAATGGGGCCCAGAAACGGTTGAAAACGGAAAAAGAAGTATGACAATGATGTAATATCATCAACCAAAACTTGTTAAACAAAATTATCCTTACTGAATAGTTAATGATTTGATTTTGTCATCATTTGACTTGCCAACTATTTCTAATTAGTATTAGGTACACTAATTGAAGTTTTAACGAACTCTTAATAGATTTATTTGGTAAAATAGCATGGGGTAATTAGCAGCAATAGTCACATTTTGATAAATGGTTGCGTTTTTTTATCACTCTCTTAAAAAATTGCTCGTGTGATCAAATTTAGTTGTGAAAAATTCACACAGCCATTCTTTAATTTGAAAGGAAAAAAATGTATCGTTGACCTTCACATCTCGCACATTGGAGCTATAATATCAAAACCTCAAAGGCAGGATTCCGAACTGAAGCAGAAAGCTGTTGGCCCTTGTTTCAGAGTTCGGAGGAGATACCAAAGAGGAGGGAAGCTTTCAATTAAAAGGTAATTTCTCATTAATTTTCTCATCCCTATAAACCCTAATCCTTTCTAGCAAGTTTGGTCTAGCAAGCCTAATCCAGTCAAATTTTGCATGAATTTTTCGAAATTCAAACTTGCTAGAAGGGATTAGGGATTTATAACGGTGAAAAAATTAATGAGAAATTACCTCTGACGATTGTCAAAGGGGTTGCGGCGACTGTGAAGGGGGTGGTTATGGAATGAAGACGAGGATGGGTTCTAAAGAGTAAGACCAGTGATGGCACCTCTTAGGTGTTAGACGGCCCGTTGCAACTGATGAAAGAGAAACAAGGGTGAAAAGTCATATTGTTAGGGAATAGAAAGAGTGGGTTAACTGGGGTAGTTCAAATTGATAAGGAGAGTGTCGTTGGTTGTTGTTAGTGTTTCGTTGAGTACTTTCTCTTTTTAATGAATGAAGGACACTTTTTACAACCAAATTTGATCATAAGAGCAATTTTTAAAGTGTGATCAAAAGTTCAACCATTTGTCAAAAGGGAACTATTGCTACTAATTGCCCAATATCATGACCCATAACCCTAAATGAGATTGAAAGTTGAAACTACTACACTCCAAATTTCAGTCCATTTATTCAACTAATTAACCAACTCCCACACCTCCTATCTCTGTTTTCACATAGCCAAATAGTTGGGTAAAGTACAAAAAACTACCTCAACTATTGGTGTCACGACACTTTCATACCTCATCTTTTAAAATTGACAATGTCATACCTCATCTTACGAATTTGTGCCAATATCAGACATCCGTCAATTTTTCTGTTAATTTCTCTGTTAAATGATGATGTGGTCCGACACGTGTCCCACTCACTAATCCAACTGGATTAAAAAATAATTAAATATTCAAAATTTAAAAAATATATATATATATTAAATCTCTCTCTTTCTCTCTCTCTCTCTCCTCCCCCCCCCCTTTCTTGCCTCTCTCTCTTCTCTGCATCCTAGAAGACCCAAAACCCCTTCCCACCCGACCCCCCCGACCCCTTCCCACCCGTCCTCCACCACCATCTCTTCCATCTCTCTCGCCCCACTTCTCTCTCTCGCTGTGCCCAGAACCGCCTAAACCCACCTGGGTTTTTTCATCCACCAAACTCTTGCCCATTGACTCGTCCCCCCAAACTCTTGCCCATTAACTCGTGTCCCCCCCCACTACCCCACAGACTCGGACTTTGTCGCAAATCAAACCGGTTCCCAGTCCGAGTTCAGGTCGACGCCGTCGTTTTGGGTGTCCAGGTGCAGATCGAGGGTGGCAGAGTGAGGGAGGCGAAGTAGTTGAGGAAGATGATGTCGTGGAACGACGTCATTGCGATCTCCAGATCGAGGGTGGCGGAGTGAAGGAGGCGGAGTAGTCGAGCAATATTGGGTTCTTCGTTTTGGGGTTTTCGAATTGTGGCAACAATTGCTGCAATGGGAAGGTGGGTTTTGTTCCTCCGGGGTCTAGGTCTTCTGGGATGCAGAGAAGAGAGAGAGAGCCAAGAAAGGGGGGAGAGAGAAAGAGAGAGAGAGGAGAGAGAGGGTGGTGGAGGACGGGTGGGAAGGGGTTTTGGGTTGCAGAGAAGAGAGAGGTGAGAAAGGGGGGAGAGAGAGAGGAGAGAGTGAGAAAGATTTAATATATATATATATATATTTTTAATTTTTGAATATTTTATTATTCAAAAAATATATTTTTTATTTTTTAATCCAATTGGATTAGTGAGTGGGACACGTGTCGAACCACATCAGTATTTAACAGAGAAATTAACAGAAAAACTGACAGAGGTCTAACATTGACACAAATTCGTAAGATGAGGTATGACATTGTCAATTTTAAAAGATGAGGTATGAAAGTGTCGTGACACTAATAGTTGAGGTAGTTTTTTGTACTTTACCCTAAATAGTTTTACAGGTCTACAACTAGGGTTTTTTGTTTTGATTCCATTCAATACTAAATTGCTGGAAATTTTGTTGCAGTCTCACTACCTACCATTCTCCTAACCAAAATATATTTTTCCCTTATAGGAGAAGTTGGCTACTTGGGTTAAACCCTTTCATGTCATGATTTTGTTGGTTGAGTTGGGACCAGACCTTTGTCACAAATATGGTCTGGTTGCAATTGGATCGCAACCAACTAATAACCAAAACTAACCACCAGCAGGGGGAGCTGGCAGAGGTAATGGGTTCAGCTAGCTAGCCCATGTCTTCCTATTCACCAAACTCACACCACTTATCTCCTTTTGTGACATGCATGTTGCGTACGTAAACAACTCTGGTAGGTAATTCTAATCTGAAATATTCAACTTTTGTTAACGGAATTGCAGATGATTATTTCTTAAGGGATAAGAAGGAAAAAGACACTTTTATTCATTCCAAGTGTCCAAGTCATGCAGAACAAGATACTTCTTTTCGTTATATATGTGTCATTATTTGATGAATTCGACACACAAACAATGCATTATGCATGGCCCTATGAATACGACGAGCTTCTATAATATATACATACATATATATATTTGTACATGTATATATATTATCCAATCTTTTCTTGCTTAGGCTGGCAACACACCTTATTATGTTAATCCCAATCCTTTACAGCAGTGAATGACCTTACTTTTCTCTTCAGGAATTCAGGCTCCAGGCCCTACCCCAGAGGTTGGATTAGGACCTACATCAGGGTGACATATCAAGATAGACGGAAGGTGTTACCTGCTAGTTTGTTGCTCAATTAACAACTTGGGACATGCTTAATATTGATATAAAGATATACTTGATTAGTAGCACTTTAGAAAAACTAACTGAAATGCTAGAAATAGAGAAGAGTGTTTTGTAACATCCAATAGTGTTGTTCATTGCCACCAAAGAGCGTCAATCGCTTATTACATGCGCGCGTGAACGACTGTAAACCGTTGATTGATGTGAATCTCATGATAAGTCTCATTCCAAACAATGTCTAAGAATCGTCTAAGTGCGTGTCACGATCTTTGAAAACAATAATTTTTGTCCTATTATATTCTTTATCGCATGTTATAGCATTCCTAATGAGTGATGGCATTGTAAATCTCTAAACAAATGATATGTTGATGAAGAAATGCTATAAAGCTTGAAATTCACTTCAATTTATCTAAATCCCATGCATATGGGCTTAGCATTGTTGGACTTACATGCATAATTTAATTGGGTTCCTATATAACACAGTATGGCCTTTGTTCCCACTTCTCTATCTCCTACCAGGCCCCTGTAAAGCCCTTGATTTCTATGGAGTGGTTTGGTCTTTTCTAATGAAATCGACCCTATCATTTAAATTAATGAAGCTGGGCTTGAAGGATTTTCTTTCCTTTTTTGGTTAGAGGGCTCAGTCTGTTCACCATGCCAGCCCTACACAAAATATCTGGTTATTTTGTTATAAATAAAAAAAGTGAAAGGAAAAGAAAAAGGTGCTAGGGTAGGAGGAAGAGGCCAACATTTAAAATTTGAAGAATGTGAGCAACCTTTTCATTTAGACGAACCATGTTTTCAAAATTTGAACAACGTGAATCTAGTGGTTGAACGATTTATCATTGATTTTCTGTAGAGTTAACCTTTAAAAAGTGAGCTAGCTAGCTAGAAAGTAAGTGGTTATTAATCATTATACACCATTGCAGAATGAGAATAAGAACTAAGAAAGTAAAACGGAAAAGGGATGTGATATCCACACACCTCTTTATACTTCTCTTACACCTTTTTAGTTTTTGGCCGTCGGATCGAATGAATTGAAGAAGATCAATGGACATAAATTAACAAGGGGTATGTGAAGTAAAAAATGGTGTATGAATAGCACACCCCAACGGAAAATTAAGTTCGACTGAGAAGGTTGGTAGTATCCCCTAAAATGTATACAAGTGTGTGTTCTCTTGAGTTGACCTATACATAAATACTCTATTTCTGCTAATTCTGTCCTCCATACTCTCGTTGTACCGGAACAGCAAGAAAAGACTCGGGATCCGCTACTAAAAGAGTGTGATGAAATGACCAACCCATTTATCAGAAGCCATTAAAAACCTGTTTTTCCGTCAAGATCATGGGCCAGTTTTTGAAAGAAACATCCCTCCCAGGTTTGAAAGAAAAGGACCATTATGTTATAATCTACTATGGTGCTCATCGTCATCATGAATCATGATATCAGAGCCTGCAGAAAGAAACATTTTATATTGAAACAGTAGCAGATAGGAATATAGAGGAGTATATTTTATATGTATTCTATATATTAGACCAAGTTTAAAAGCTAGAATTTCTCCAATTTTGCTTAATTCTTAGCTGAAGTTATTATAATATTTGAGCAAGCGATTATTTGGAAAAAAATTTGAAGTCACTTCTACTCATAGTTAAGCATTTTGTTGAGCTTTAATTAGAAAGATGTTAAAATTTTAACAAAATCCAGGTGCATCATAGTTTCATAGTTTAACCTATGAAACTATGAAAAACGAGAAGGGACAATGGAAGCAGAAGGATTGAAATGCAAGAAAGATGAAGAGAAAGCTTGTGTATTTCAGAAGAACAAGTATTACAATATACAGTGAATGAATCTTACAACCACCTTTTGTAGTAAGCTAATCTATAGTGCAAATGACTCAATTACCCTTTCTAATAACTTTACTCTAACAAACTCAATCCATCTAACAAACATAAGTACTTAACCAATGACATAATGCCACATGGATCAATGACATGTACATATGGTTATTATTTTAAACGTCGTCAAAAACTCTTTTAATTGTCTGAGAGCGCTTACCTTTCTAATTCCAACAGCGTCCTAAGATGGATTCTATTGACAATATACTTCAGATGCATGTAATCATTTCAAACCAAAAGGAGATAAAGTTTAGCTCAAGAAACAAATGTTATAAATCTGATTTAAATTTTGTCAAGATTAGATGGTTCATTCGATTTGGTAGCTCTCACAATTAATCTAAACTACATATCAACCCTTGCATGTAAATATTTGCCCATCCGACCCCATTAATATTTGCTAACCTATAACGTATCTAGGGCAAAAGTGACGGAGAGAGGTTCTGGGGTCCTTTGCCAATGAAGAAAACTGTCATCATGTGTCTCCAATGGCCATCGTGACTCATGGTCCATCAAATATTGATGCACACCAATATGAAGACTACACGTTTTTGGACCAACTATATTAACTGACAAAAAAGCACATACAAAAAAAAAGAAAAAGATAAATTCATGATTTTTTCTCACCACGTCCCAACAGGGCAACATGTACAGGAGTGAACCATAAGCCGCATACGTAGCCTGCCTCGTGATCGCAAAATATTATGTGCTTCTGATCAATTCTTAACTTTCTAATCCGTCGATGATGGATATTATATATTGTGTGAATATTGAGACTCAATTGAAATTACTATGTTCCTTATCTGTAATACCAGATTTGGTATCTGATAGTCTTTTGTTGTTGTGTGCATCATTTAAACCTGGTATCTGATTTGTTGTTTCACTAAAGTATCAGCAAAGATATTCAATAAGGCTGCTGACTGCAGTATCCTACTGTTTTCTGGTTGTGGCTAAATTGCGAGTGATTGGAATATATCCCTTTATTTTAGCCCATATTTAGGCTAAGTTTCTGCACCTCCGTGACCCGTGGCCACTTAGCTAACCCTACTGATTTACTATCTTAAGGATAATATTTGGCTCTTTCCCTTTGGAAATAAAGAATCACCTCCGTGGCCTCTAGCTTGTAAGCCTCTTGGCTGCTGATAAGCTTGGTATTTCTAGATCTAGGGTTATTCCTTTGTAATGTTTGATTCTTTTAGGGCTTAAGCCTGCCCGTTTACCCAAAAAAAAAAATCCCATGCACTAACTGACATGTGAAGTTTTTTTATACACATGTCAAACTGTGATTAATATGAATGTAAAAAATATAAACTAATAAAGAAAGAAGCCAAACAATGTCCTATGAATAAAGCATCTTATCCTTTGAAATACGAAAATAACTCCAACTCATTATCCTTTTGCCTTTTCTGAGTAAAACATCTACTATTCATTTCTTTAACACATAAACATATTACACCAAATAAAGGAAATAGTGATATTTTGAAAAATGAGAACCATGAACTTATGTTAGGGTGATCATATTTATTCATCAAATAATATGTCAACACACATATGTTAGTTGTTAGAACTAAAAAATTGAGGTCTAATGGCCAAGATTTGAAAGATTGAAATATTGACAACATGGTTCGTTGAATAACATTTGATATACAAATATGGGTATATATGTGCAGTAGTTTAGTCTTTTGTCGAAAGAACAAAAAGTATACTGGTAGCTAGCTAGCTAGTTGGCCATGTTGCACAGCATTACAATTTTAATTTTGTTTTTCATAAATCAGACAAGAGTTGCCACAATAGTTTGATACCATTTCTTAATCCAATATGCTTAAAGACAAGCTACAAAGATTCAAGCAAAACAAACTATATATTTAAACTATGTATATCACAAAAGTGACTGATGATCCATTGACATGAATGAGCGTACACCCATTTTGCCTCAAAAATTAACCCTTTCTGGATCGTCTGGGGGTAATTTGAGAAGGAACATAGGTACATGCAGTTGGATTTTTCTGTTTTCTGTGGCAAGCGACAAAATCAAAAGTTTGAAAGGATGTCTTTGCTTCCTAGGTGAAATGAAATTAAACACTGAAATGCAGGCACGTATGTAAATATGATAGAATTGTGGGGAATAATTAGAGTAATGGTCCTAGTTTTAACTTCATCGATCGATGACCTCATGAAGCGATACAACCTTATAAACGTAATGATTTCTAACAATTTAACGGTCGAGATAATCATGATGCTATTTTAAATACGTACCTCACTGTAATCCGATCAAGAGGTAAGGTTGCAGCGAAGTCAGCTTAATCAGTTCCAAATGTTGCTGCCTTTCCGCTCTCCTCAGCTACAACAAAGTTCGACTACAACTCAAACTCCTCAACAGATTGGATCTACTATTTAGTTCAAACCTCCTATCATTATCACATGTATTTATCATTGTAATTATTGTTACTGGAGATAATTCTCCCTTGTAATTGAATCTCTCATGTAACGAGTATATATTGAATACACAGGCTCACTCAGAGTTGACTTCATTCATATAAACACATTCCTTCTGCTGTGCATTGATATCTTTTATGGTATCCCAAAGCTAAAGTCTCACGACAACATTTTGATACTCCCTTTTTTTTTTTATTCAAATGGCGTCTGATTTCTTTGTGCTTTTCCTCCTCGATCCCCCTCCCATCCCTACCCAATGTCTCAAATTTTCTTACCATCAAACTGGATCGCGCGAACTATCCACTGTGGCAGGCGCAGATGCTTCCCTTATCGTTGATGGCACCACTAACAGTTCATTTGGACCATAACACAGTGTATTCGGGGATTTAGACTTTCATTTTTTTAAGTGCAGCATTACCCTTGCAAAAGTTAAATTAAAAAAATTGAAAAACTCGTCATAATGTGAACCGTTTATTATTTTTTAATGGGGTACTATTGTATTAACATGTATATATTTTATGTGTGTATAAGTGCATCAATGTGCATGAAGAGTATACGTACATGATGTAGTTATATGTACAGTATACATGTGTATGTTGTGTATATAGAGTGAGATTGATAATTGCTTCTCAGAAATCAAGTGGTAATTGGCATATTGCTCTCGATTGTTCACGTGAGGTTCTTAGGGTTGACTATATTGGGACAATTCCAACTGGTTACTACAAATTTGTTGGCAGGTCAATAATGTAAACCCTGATCTTTGGCCTACTTGTTTTTGATAAATGATGTTTGGCTACTTTTACTGCATAAAATTACAATAAACGATCGATCGTTTTATACGTATATATACATATAATAAATATCATAAACCTACATGTACTCTCTATCCTTTTTTTTTTATATATATAACTTGGGACTTTATGATGGTTTTTGGCTTTTATTTAGCATAATTTTTTTTGGCATATTGTCATATATTTCCATTGATAATTTTTTCTTATGATCCTTTGGGGAGGCAGCATTTTTAAAACATTAATTTTCTATTTAGATATAACGAAAATCAAAGATTTAATATAAGTACCTAAAAAGTAAGATATGGAAAGGGTGTGGGGAGAGGTTGGGAGCAATTTTTGTCCCTTGCCTGCACAAACATTGATTGTCTTTTGGCAAATACCAAGGTGAGGAATTTCTCCCATCCAATGCAATAATAAACCCATATCTTTCTCATAACGATCTAACATTCCTCCTATAATTCGAATGAACCTAGCTAATAGAAAGAGAATCTACAGTGATCCTCATGACCATTTGTCACATCTCGGCCCGGCCTCCACCACATTCCTGACTCGACTCCATATAGCACGAGGCCTTTTGGGAGTTCACTGGCTTCGGGTTCCATCAGAACTCCGAAGTTAAGCGAGTTCGCGCGAGAGCAATTCCATGATGAGTGATCCACTGGGAAGTTCTCGTTTGAGTTCCCAGAAACAAAACCGTGAGGGCGTGGTCATGGCCCAAAGCGGACAATTGTCACATCCCAGCTTGGGCTCCCACCACATCTTGGGCTCGACTCCACCGTAGCACGATATTGTCCGCTTTGGGCCTCAGCCATGCCCTCACGTTTTTGTTTCTGAGAATTCACACGAGAACTTCTCAGTGGGTCACCCATCCTGGGATTGGTCTCGCGTGAACTCTCTTAACTTCGGAGTTCTGATGGAACCCGAAGCCAGTGAGCTCTCAAAAGGCTTCGTGCTAGGAAGAGATGGGCATGTACATATAAGTCTTAGAGAATCCACACCATTGGGCGATGTGAGATGTTACAATCCACCCCCTTAGGGGCCAGACGTCCTCGTCGACACACTTCCAGCCATGGATTGGCTCTAATACCAAATTGTCACATCCGGGCCCGGGCCCCCACCACATCCCAAGTTCTACTATGCCGTAACACAATATTGTTCGCTTTGGGTCTCGACCACGCTCTCACGGTTTTGTTTCTGGGAACTCACACGAGAACTTCACAGTGGATCACCCATCCTGGGATTGCTCTCGAGCGAACTCGCTTAACTTCGGAGTTCCGATGGAACCCGAAGCCAGTGAGCTCCCAAAATGCCTCATGCTAGGAAGAGATGGATGTGTACATATAAGGCTTAGAGAATCCACACCCATGAGCGATGTGAGATGTTACACCATTAGCCTTCCATCACTAGTTGATAGCACTTGGCTAATTTACATGACATCACAAGTTAATTTGCAGTTGAATTACTCTTCTCGTAAGTTTCTTAAAAAACAAAAAAATTGTAGAAAAATTACAATGAAGAGTGATTTTTGCACTCTTTTTACTTTATGAACACTTCGTAAAAAAATGTGTGCAGTAATCATTTCCGTTTACAAGTTAATTCAAAATTCAAAATTAGGAATTCTGCCACACTACAACCACATGTTAGTTGTTTCCTTGTTAAATAAGGTTAATTTAGTAAACCCCAAATTAGGTTAGTTTACTTATTGAAACGACTAAAACACTTTAGCAAAGTATTAAAAACTAGAGCGCTACACAATTCAAAATTGTTTGTGTTCAACACGACCCCTAGAAAAGGTCTATATATAAAATAAAAGCTTGCATCAGATCGGAGCACATGGTTTGCACGGATGAGTGGTTCAATAATTTTTTTTTTTGTAACAGGGGTAGATCACCGCAAAATTAACTCAATAAATGATTACAAACTGTTCAAATCCTAGAAACTTTGATCATATTGTCAAATGAATAAGTTTCAAACCATTGTGGATTCTCAACATAATAGTACCTAAAATTTATATTATAACTCCCAAAACCTCCATAGCCAATAGCCAAATGATATTTGGTTATATCTGAGGGAGGCAGATTCTCTGCCCTCCCACTTCCCATGCCATCTTGTTTTGTGTGATCACGGTTAAGCCACGTCAATATTTTATATTTTTTTACAGAGATAATAAGACAAAAAAGAATAGTAATATAAAATATTAACCTGATTTAACCGTAATCACACAAACAAAAAGTCACGGAAAATGAGAGGATAGAGAATCTGCCTCCATATTTGAGATGATCATTTGTTCATTGAAGGAATGAAGTGATCACTGATTGATATGCCATCCTAAATTTTTGTGTGGCCACAGTTCAATCTCCTTACTATCTAGCTTTTGCTAGGGTACCATGCAATATTATATTAGTTTTTTTCTAACCGGGCGCCGTTTAGTGGGGTGAAAACTAATTTTGCAGATAGGGTTTTGATACCAATATGGGGTCTGTGTAGTAGCATTCCACACATCTCCTTCTGGTTTGTCTTTTTAAACCTTGTCTGTTGGGTGTCTAGAAAGTCACGTGAATGTCTTATACTTACAGCTACACACGTCTCTCTCTCTCTCTCTCTCTCTCTCACCTTTGCCAATTCCCAGACCTGCCTGCTATAGCTGATCTCTTCTTTAATAAAAGAGTAACACCACTCTGCAACTTAGGCCCTTTTGCTTCTCTTTCTCTTTTTACTTGCTATGTCTCCCGTAGCTCAGACCTAGCTAGCTCTTCCACCATTATTGGAGCACTATTTAAGTTTTAGTAGTTTTCTCTCTTTGATCTCGATCGATGACTCCTCCACCTTATCATAATCTTTCACCTCCTTCCCCTTTTAATCTTGAGCTTAGTGGAGATCATGATCTTCAATACCACCACCTCTTCAATCTTGAACCTCAAACTTCCTTTTCTTCTTCTCTTTCTAGTCCCCTTTTCTTAACTCCAGCTCAAGTCCAAGCACGATCCGATGATCATTATAGAAAACCACAACAGTTTCAATTCCAACTCCTAGAGGTACTAATTAAGCAATGATCACATAACATGTGCACACTTATTTATGTGATCTATACACACACAGGCCCCTTCTCAGGATAATCGATACTGTAGCAAAAAAGGATGATAGGGCATAATATTTATGCATCTATTGGTTTCCTAGCTTATAAATTAGTTATCTTCATTAGTATTTGATCTTATGCATCCTTATATATATATATAATATGTAGCTGATTATCTTGATCATTATTTTCTTATTTTTAGGCTGATCATAACATTGTTCCGTATGGCGGATCACGCGATCATGATCATCAAGCCATTGAAAATGAAGGTGGCAATGGTACTGTTTTGAAATTAAGCATTTCCAAGAATGGAGCTGACGGAAGTGGGAATCCAAGTACTGACCATGAGGTTAATACTAGTTCAGTTAAGTGGATGTCTTCAAAGATGAGGATGATGTGGAAGATGTCAAACCCTGATCACACATCAAGCAGTTCTAATAGTAGTGGTGATAAACCAATTTCCATGAAGTTATCATCACACAAATTTGAAGAGCAGAAGCCGCAGCATCCATCATCGCAATTAGGAGCCGAAATGATCAGCTGCAGCAACAATTCATCAAACAACATGAGCAGCCTCCCAATTATTAGGGTTTGCTCCGATTGCAGCACTACTAAGACACCTCTCTGGAGGAGTGGACCGAGAGGCCCTAAGGTACTTAGTTAAAATCCTACTAATCTATTTCTTGAAATGCATTTAATCAAATTGTAACTCCGCTAGCCTAAAAGGTAAAGTTAATTGTATCTTTGACAACAGTTCCAATTGGAACCAGCATCATTTCTTTCTCATTAATCATTAATTTGCAGTCACTTTGTAACGCTTGTGGAATCCGGCAAAGGAAGGCAAGGCGGGCAATGGCGGCAGCGGCAGCTGCAGCCGCAGCAAGTGGCACAACCCTGACAGTTGCCGCACCATCTATGAAGAGTAGTAAGGTGCAACACAAAGACAATAAATCAAGAGTAAGTTCTACCGTTCCCTTCAAGAAAAGGCCGTACAATAAACTGACCTCATCCCCATCATCTCGAGGCAAATCAAAGAAGCTTTGTTTTGAGGCCCCCACTGCCGCCGCTGCCACTACCGCACTTCAACGAGTTTTCCCGCAGGACGAGAGGGAAGCTGCAATCCTGTTGATGGCTTTATCTTGTGGACTTGTTCATGGTTGAATAAATTTCAACACATGCATCCTCAAATTTAATTAGTCTACTAGTACTTGTTTTGTAGTAGTACTTTAGCTATATATTAGAACTAAATCAACTAATTAAGTTTAAGCTAGAGAGTGAGAGAGAGTACCAAAATCAGTGATGTGGAAGCAAATTAGTTAATCAGTTCAATAAAAGCCAAAAATATTGTGTTGTGATCTTATGAGAGGGAACTTATGGTGTGGTTTTTTTATTATTTACAAGTAGATATAGAATTCACCAAAATAATGGTTGTTTCAATATAACTGCTTGTTCATCTATATATTTAGGTTTTGTTTTGTTATCATTTTATCGATCAATTGTTATCATACTACTAGTGCTGCTGCTACTCCTTTTGCCTCTTTGTCCTTTTGTTGTTTGATTTCAGTGCTGCTGCTACCTAGCGCTGCACAGTTAATTGGTACAAATCTCAGTTGAGAATTAACTAGATCTAGGGTTCTTCCATCACTATAAGAGTTTAAATTGAAGTTCCACATATGTCACGGAGATCAGTCATTAAAATAACTTTTGGAAATATTGTAGAGACAAACAAAATTTTTGACTTTTGAATCACATGACCGTTAAATTTAATGGAACATATACTGCATGCAGTGGGGCACGAAGATTGAGGGGTGCAGATCATCATATATTGAATACACAGAAAACAAACACTAATATTTAAGATTTTTCCGTGGTTTTTGTAGCGTGAGCTTCTAAGTGAACAAACTCTAATATTTGAGTTTTGTTCGAGCCTTCGTGGCATGCATGAGCCTATAACTAAGTAGGAGTTGTATAAATAATAAATCAAGAGGTAAGAGATTCATTATTAAACACGATTCTGAGCTCTTGATGTTAGCAGTCTCACATCGGTGGGGGTAAAGAAAAACAATGACTTTCAATAGGATTACCACAATGATCTAAATAATACCTTTGTGGTAAAACCTCACACCTAACGGATTTGGTAGGTGATAAAGCTGGGGACAGTAACGGTGTCGTTAGAGTGGCGCCCCTAGGCCCGTTGATTTAAATTTTTTTAACATGGTAACAGAGCCCACGATTACGGGCTCGTGCAAGCTTTGTCACCAGGAAGGATGGCTTGGAAACAAGCTTGGACTCTTAACATAGAGCCGGCTTCTGAGTTCTTAAGAGTCACTTCCTGAAAAGATTGAAAACAAGTATGGACTTCATTGGAGCTGACCTCTAAGTTTCAATTGCCGATGTGTGGATCTTTCACACGTGAGGGAGCGTGTTAGCCGTCCCACATCGGTGGGGGTAAACAAAAGCAATGACTTTAAAATTAAATAGGATTACTCCACTCTAACTAATACCGAGACATTTTGTGGTAAAACCTCACACCTGATAGATTAGGTATGTGGTAAAGTTGGAAATAGGTCGCTAAAGTGGGGCCTCCCGGGCCCGTCAATCTAAAAAATTTCAACACTCGATTGGATCAGTAACTATGGTGCACCCCATCCCCAGTAAATGGGTAACAAATCATGAGCAATTCTCAAGTTTAATAAAAAAGAAAAGGAACCCTAAAATTTAAGGTTTAAATCGAAGAGAACTTTAGGGTTCGATGATATGAGAAAGCAACAACTGATCTTTTTACAGTTTTTAACAAATTTCCTTTTATCTTTCCATTTTTCTGAAAAGTTTACTGGGGTTACTGGCAAAGCAATCATGATTGTGATGAGTCAGAGTGGAGATATATATACAGCTTTAAGAGTTTGGGAAGGTCGCCTAGAGGATTGTACTACTCTTGTCTTAGACATTGTCTGGATTCGAGAAAGCTAGTTGTAGTTGTAGACAAGTAGTCTTCTTGATATGGAATATCATACTAGTGCAAGAAGAAGCGCAGTGACCTCTGCAGGCTAGCTACAGTCAAGTACTTCAGAGAAATAGATTAGTTACACAATCTCAGAAATAACAACTTTGAGTGTCCTCTGTATTTTGTGTTTAATTAGGTCATGGAAGGGTGTATATGAGAGTTCCAATATTTGTAAACAGAGAGATTGAGTTACATGCATTCAGACAACACTAGAGATTTGCATGGTTCACTCTTAGTTTGGTTACGCTCACGGGACAAAACCCTTATCCCAGTTGTACATCTCAGCTCCTCCCCCACACAAATAAGTAAACCCAGTTGAACATCTCAGCCCCCACACAATAAGTGAAACAAAGTTTGTATTCGAATCATTTCAAGAGAGATGGGATCAATGACATTGTAGGTTTATTTGTCTCTTCAGAAAGATGATCTTCTCCACTGAAGAGCCGCGTTTGGATAGTAGTTTAAAGATAGAGAGATTATATTCACACACCCCAAATTACTTCTCCCACACCTTTTTACCTTTTTAATATTTTCTACACACCACTAACACTTGATAAAAAAATATTAAAAAATTAAAAGGGTGTGGAAGAAGTAATTTGGGGTGTGTGAATATAATCTCCCTAAAGATAATCTAATTAGTCTCCTTGAAATTATTACTGTTTAGATAATCACTTGCATGCTACATATGAACTCTTAACTAGATTTAAATTGAGTAGGTCAAGCTCATTCTTGGTAGAGGTTTTTCAATGTGCTAGGAACATGGCACAATACATCAAGTGTCATAATAAAAGTTGTTGAATTTTTTCAAATATATGACTATTCGTATTATGAAACTTAATGTACCAGACCAGTGTTCTCAACATACTAAAAAATTTCTCCATGTCATAAAAAAAAGGGAATTTTAACGAAAAGCACCCGGTACTGTTTACTTTAACGAAAAACCACATTTTTACACTAAAAAGTCAATCATGGTACTATTCACTTTACCCTTTATTTTGTCCTTATCATTAAAATTCAAAGTTTTCAAACCTTAGTTTTCTTTAAAAAAAAAGGCTTCAATTTTTTTGAGGTGCCCTTCGAACATATGGGCATTTAAGGCTTTATACAACATTTGCTGAAACGGGCCCCATTTAAAGTTTGGACCTAACTCGGCCCTGCAGCAACTTTTAGGCCTCTTTACGCTTAAATGAAACGACATGTCGTACTATTTATCGCCCCCGTTTTTCTCGACATCTTTGATCGTTGGTCCCCCTGGGTCCTGAAAAATCAGTTAACGGCTGGAAGGAGACTATATCTCAGGCGTTCTGCGCACACAGTCAAACGCCGAGAGAGAGATGCCGGAGCCACCGCCACCGCCGCCTTCATTACCGCCGAAGGAATTACCAATCAACCGCTACAAGTTCATTTGGCGAGTCCTCATGATCTCCAATCTTGCTCTCGGAGGTCAGCCAGCTTTCTCATCTTTTCGGCTCTACTTTTTCTATGTTTTTTTTTTTTGGCATTGGATTATTGGCTTATGGATATGGGTTTGAAAAACCCTAGATTTTATGACCATAAGATTGCCTGAGCATAATTGGGTTATGGGTTTTGTTTATCTGAGCAGAAGTTTGATTGCAGTGAATTGGAATGTGTGTTTTCGTTTTCGTACGTAATGTGTTTAATTTATTGTCCCAGAGAAGTATATTGTGTGCTTTGATGAGCTGATGTTTTAATTCTGCTTTAAGCTTGGACTGTTTGATGGGTAATTTTTGTTGTTGTTTTTTAATGGTAAGTTATGATGGTGTAATTCTTTTAGGTAATTTATTGTCCCAAAGAAATGCATCTTGGAGTATCTACTGAATGGCTCAAAGCTAATGTTACCATCTCTAGTAAACACAACCCCGTGCAGGTTCTCTTGGCTTGGGTTCCTCCTCTTTAAGTTAAATGTGGATGGTGCTAGGCTTGGTTCTAACTGGGTGATTGGAAGTGGAGGATTAATTAGAGATTGGCACGGTAACTGGATCGCTGGTTTGATTGCTAAAAAAGGAGTTGGGGAAGTTCTCCATGCTGAGCTTTGGGCTTTGTTTTATGGGTTGAAGATAGCTAAAGCTAGAAATTTCTCTCATCTTATTGTGGAGGCTGATTCTGCTTTGGTGGTCTCTCTCATTCATGGTTCGCCTAGCCTTAATAACCAGCCTCTTTATGGTCTTGTCTTGGAGTGCAGAAATTTGATCATAGAGAACTGGAGCTGTAATGTGCAGCATGTTCATAGAGTGTGTAATTTGCAGCTGACGGATTAACCAAATTGGGTTTAAATAGCGAGACGGAGTTTCACAAGCTTGTGGAGCCTCCCCTTGTTTAGTTAAAACTCTTTCCAATGATTGCTCCAGAGTCGCTATAGCTAGATTAGTTTTTCCTTAGTGTTTCTTTTTCTTCTTCCATGTTACCGAAAAGAAGTAATTCTTTTTCATGGTTAGGATAGGGATCCAGTGTGCGAGAGAGAAGGAAAAAGTTAAGCCTCTTCAGCCCCTTGTCTGATAAACTTTTGGGCAAAGCCTTTAAGGTGTTTTTTGGGGACCAAATCATAATGGAATTGATGGATGTTATTGTAACTGGTATAGTATGGTCCAAATCAGCCAATTAATATCATAGGCAACTGATTTCAGACAGCTTTCACTATGTGTAGGTATTCCAAGGCTTATAAAATGCCTGATGGGACATGTGGTTGTTTGTGTGGTATGCTGATTGAAATTTGAATTACTAAATTTGGAAGGCCTTGGTTGTAGCCTGATAGGGCTTGAAAAGCTTAATAACTTGATTTGTAAAATCAAGTCGTAGTAAGTAAACACTGGAATGATGACCGTGATTTCTTTTGTATGGGAAGAACTTTAAATACTCTGATGGCTGTAGTGTCAGTGTGCTATACCAGTAATGCTGAATTTCATTGCCGTAAAGTTGGAATATTTTTGACAATTTGAAAATAAATTACTCCATCTATAGAAACTGTTATCCCGCATCTCTAGGGGCAAGTATACAAGGTATTCTTCACTGTCTTGTGATGGACAGAAACCTGGCCGGAAGTATACATCCATTTGTACTGGGGGCTTTTCCCTCTTAATCCAAATGGTTTAAGTTTTTTTCCTATATGTTTAAAGGGGAACAGGGCAAGAGGTTAGAGGTTGTTACAGCAGTTCTCCTGTATGTATGACCAATGTGGGTATCACATCCATTGCGTAAAACAAGAGGTTGCCAGTGTTTACTTTATGAAGATATTAATCTTTGTGTGAAATATCCCTTCTATGCTTCTTGTTTCTGTGTATGTCCCCATGTGCTTGCACTGTGAGCTTGTCTTTGTGATTGAGTTATGCGACTGGCTCCTTGTCAATCTTCCCATAGGAAGGATTAGTCCCCTCGCTACCCTGATAATGAGCGGGCTACTGCCATCCAGGCAAAAGCAACTTTCCCTCCCTTTTACTTTGATCAGTTCGGTTAATCATCAAAATGACATGCCTATTTTTTTCACTTAACGGACACATTGATAGTTTCGTTAGATCGAGTAGTTGGGGTTGCAGCCTAGATCTCCAAGGTGATATATTCATCACTCGTGACATTGGCTAGGAAATAATCAATCAAGGGAAAAGGGGAGAAAGCTAACATTTGGAATAATTTCTTACTGATAAAGATCTATTCACCATTTGTTGATGTATCACACAAATTTGCCACAATATGAATAACATCATTGTCAAATTCAAAAGTTAACCTCAAAGACAGGATTAACTGACTTGCATCTGAACTCTTGCAGGTTACATGTTTATTGGAGGCAAGAAGCGAGATCGTGGAGATCGTGGCACATTGAATCCGAAATCTGTAGAAACAGGCGCTGAAAATCACAAACCTGCAGTAGAAGTGCCCTCTGTTCCTGCCACAACTCCTACAACAACTCCTGCAACAACTACTACAACTTCTGAGACATGGGATATGTGAGGGCGCAGCCGCCTATCCCTGAGACCAGCAACATCAACATTTCGAGTAGATGCCGTAAGGAAGGAGGAAATTCAAGATGAACGATACTGAGAAGAAACAAAGCGATGAAGAAAAGACAATCTTAAACAGTTAGAATCTTACACAGGGAAATGGATTCTTAACTAGGTTGAGTTCAGCGGACTACTTTGTTACTAGTTTCGAGTGTGGGTAACATGTTTGCAACAGATTGTCATGTCAATTTTTGCACGACATAACGATATCCCTTGTCCACGAGAATTATCTGTATTGCGTACTGGCGATTTGTTGCAAAACATTAGATTATTCTTTTTTCTTTTCGCCGACATAATATGGAAATGACTAGCTCTTTGTCCAGTAGTACTTTTCTATACAAAATTGGACGAGCTCTCAAGTTCGAATTGACCCACATATTAATCCACAAATACGAACAATTCAAATTTGTCATTAGTACTCAAATGAAGACTAATTTGTCCAAGGGATCATACTAATGAAAGGTCGAAGGTCATCGAGGAGAGAATCTTGTGTACAATCGCCAACATACGGCCTTTCTCCCAAGCCGGTATGTGTGGTCTCACAAGTCACAACCATGTGGTTCGAATAGTGACCTTCAAATTTGTCGGTCACTGAGTGCCTCCTTTGGGAGCCCGACCAGTTGATGTGGCTAATAGTTTACAGGACCCATCATTGTTGTACACCAATCTCCCTCCTCTAACGATATCCACATTCGCATCCAATCCCATCTCCCACCTTCAAGGCATCAACCATTCATTCCAATTATTCCAAATCTTAAAAAAAAATAATAATAATAATAATAAAAAACAGAGGTTTGCAAAGTCTGTCTCTGCAATGCCGGGAACCATCAATATTTCAGGTACTAAAAGCTATTTTTCAACTATAATTCAAACATAGAAAGGCGTTGATGTCTAATTGCGCTTCGTAGAACAGCGTAGAGGAGCTAATCTCGCCTAATTCTCTGATTAATTTATATAAAAAAAAAAAACAGTGATATGATATCTAACATATGTTAAGCCTTTTCTTTTTCTTCACGTTTTGCTGAATGTGCAGTTCTTGAGTTCATGGACCTTCCTTCATCACCTTCTTCCCCAATATCCATCAAGGGTAAGCAATGATTTCTTTTCTAAGTTTTCCTAGCTCAAATTCGTTCTTCGAGTTTTGGTCTAGAATTTCAACAATTTGACAAAATGCTCAATGAATGAATACACATTGCAGTTTCTATGGGAAAAAGAGAGTGCCAAGCTTGGGACAAGGGAGACTTTACCTTGTAAAAAATCAGATAACTGCTTCTAGTCATAATCATAAATGTTGTTGTTATTCGATTTGTATCATATCCTGGTTGTGTTTATGGACAGCGCATTGACGACCCTTCGCGGCAATTTGGTTCTTCTTCTTCAAGATTCCGAGGGGAATGAGATATCGCACGCAGGTTTGTTAAAACAATTCCTATATGTATAAACTTTTTCTTGTTTTTTGTTTACAAAAAGATGGGAGGAAGATTAATATGTCGCATCATCCTTGTACCTTCGCGAAGAGATCTCAGGTTTGATCTTCATCGCTGAACAAGAAAATTTAGAATCTTCAGGCATAATATAACAGGAACGAATAATGTGACAAGTCCTTAGTTTTCTATGTGGTATTAGAATTTCTCTTTTCGTGAATGATTTTGTGGATGTTCTGAATGCATGAGGAAATCCTTCCTTATATTGAAGTTGAAAAGTTAGTGAGAAAACTTTTTGTAGAGTGATAGTTTGTTTTCAGATGGTAATTGGAATAAGAAGTGCTTATCATGATCAGAAGCAGAATTTAAGTGCATAAAGGTTGAAGGGTTCGCGAGTTGTTTTAACGATCACTTAACCTGCTTTAGAGTGATGCAGATAGAAACGAAGAGACTTCATCAGCCATTACTCTTCATCAGAGTGTTGAGCTCCCAGTAAACGAATCGTACGAAGGGAGATTCATTGAGAAGGTTGAGGCCAAACCACTTCCAGCTAATGTTGAATCCACAGCCACTTCTGCGGATAATACTTCAATAGTATTAAGAGGCTCACAATCGACTGTTGGGGGCAACAAATCGTCCTAATCTTCAGGAAGATAGGCTTCGAAACCCTGAGAAGCAGGGTCCAATCAAGAAAACTCCTAGCAGCGTAAAGAAAATGATAAGCGCCTTTGAAAGCGGCTCAGCTGAGGTATGTCTGGCATGTTGCTTTATAAGAGATGAATATATTCTTTTTCAAGTGGATAAGAGGCGAACCTATTACAGGAAAGCGTCTAGTACGCCTGATACAATTTTTACTGCCCAATAACCAATTTGGTCCCAATGTAAGGAATAATCAGTTACACTAAAAATACGGTTCAATACACCCAAAACCACACCCGTAACCCAAGTCAATTCACCAGGTTTTTTAAAGTTGCTGGTGAGATATAAGCGGTACTCCGGTGGATTTCTCCCTCAGAATCAGAATAAATATGTTTTTGAACCATCTATTTGAAATTTAAAGTATATGCTCCTGCGCGAATCTCAGCAATCGCTTGTTCTGATTCTATGTAGTGATCATTTTGAACTAAATTTTCCTTAACAATGTTTGCTTTGACCGCAGGATATGAGGCCTCAAATCAAACCGCCACCAATACAAATTCGTTCGAATAAGATTAAAACAGGAGCTCTTTTGGAAAGCCATAACTTAGAAGAACACAAGAATGTGACAAGTACAGAAACTGCACAATCAATATCAAAAGCGGTAGTGAATCCTTTTCGGTCAGGGGACTTGAATATTGGTCCAACATCTGGTGAAAAAAGCGGTGAACAAATTAGTTTACCTGGAGCTTTGGATGCGATTAAATATTCACATCCCGCTGGGATAAAGAATACATTCAAATTAGATATACACCAAGTAGTTGACAGAAAGAAAGGTAACTTTCCCAATGATTTCGTTAGACCATCAACATTTGAAACGGTACAAGAATCAGATAAGGTTCTTGGTAAGCATAGGCACGAGCCTTGTGATATGCCCCGTGGAAAGCGACATTCTGGTGGCATTCACGGTATAGAGGAGAGTCGAGTACAAGTTTCTTCGAGAAACTCTCAAATCACCGACGTTCAAGGAGCTTCACCTAGTGCTAATGCATGTACATCAGAAGCAAACTTGGAAGATAGGCACATTCGAGGAGATTCAGGTCCCAATGTATGCACATCAGCAGCAAAATGTGAAGATAGGCACGATCCCTTTGAGAGATCTGGTGACTGGATATTTCCAGATGAAGCAATACGCTTTTGTATAACAACTACTGGTACAAATATGATGGATTCACGAGGTGGTTGCAGAGAGAATCCAAGTATCCATCAACAAAAGATGATTTTTTCACTACCATAAAATGTTGAAGAGGTATTGATTTTTTCGGCTGAACTTCTGGTAGCTTATTAGTTATTACATTGCTGAAAATTCTTGATTACGTATCTTGCATTTACCTATATTTCAACTAGAGCAATCTGATCTTCATGTGGTGAAGGAAAAATGTGTAATTAACATGAGAGATTGATATTGACCGGTTTAAAAGTTCGAATAATGATGTTTGTTTGAACTTAAACATGTGGTGGATTTGGTGTTCTAACAGTGTAATCCTTGTGTTTATGTGATCACTTGTAGTATACTGTGTATAGAAATGAGGAGAACCAAAGACGAAGATCAAAGGTTGAGACTTCATCAAAGGAGGCTGGAACTTTTGGGGGGCCGGTTGGGCCGGTTATATGTTTTCTCCTAATCAAATCCATGAAACTATAGTTATATGTCGACATTTTGTAACCTTAAAAGTCTAAAGTGTTAGGGCTTGTTCGATAATCATTTTGTCTTACTCGATGATTATGAAACCAATTCTAAATAGTATGGAACTTCATAACTAAATTTTTTTTTTGGCGCTCCCATTTCCCTTACCAGGAAGTAAAAGCTGCAATTATAATTGGCTTTGGCACACTTGTTCTCCTTACAAGACACAGAAAAAACAGGTAAGCATATTACCAAGCAGAGAAGACGAGATATCATGCAGGATCATGAGTTTTTTTTTTTTTCCAGGCCCTGCCATTTCTGTAAACCCACTGGCAAAAGTTGCTCAGTGAATAGCGTGTTAAAAGTACGTAGCAAGTTCAAATTGGTTTTGTAATTGCCCCATGCTTCAGATTATTGAAAAATTATTTTCTGTGATTATAACACCATACGTGATACTTTTGCCTACGCATCGTTAGTTTTAGTGGAGAAGGAGGCCCTTCCTTCAATGGAAATGGCAGAATCTCTTTATGTCGCTGCCATGAAAATGTCCAGTGAATCTAATTTTTTAAAACTATGTAAAGCTATATCAAGCTGTATAAATACTAACTTGTGTGTTGAAAAAATGTAAAAGAGTGAGTGGTGATTGTGTTGAGACGGTTTAGGTTGTAATTTAACATGATAACTATATCTAATTTTTTTTAATTACAAATCGTTTAGTCATTCATACATGTCAAACTAATCAACGATTTAGACTTTAGGTAACAAGTATTTGCTTGATCCATATGAATGATTTATTTTGTTTTTTACATATATAATCTTTACATGATGATAAAAAGAATAAGCAATTATAATTATGAATTCGTATGATAAAAATACGTAAATCGTCGATGGGAGAAGAAGTAGGTTCTCCTTATGAGAGGAACACAAGTATTATTCTTCCACAAAACCTCTTCTAATGTAGAATTTCAGACGAAAATCAAGAGGAACAATTTAAAGACACAAGTGGCAAAGTCTTGTCATTTGATTGCTTTAATCAGAATCCAACACATGCATGAGAATTAAAGACGTGAATGGAGGGGTACCACTCTTAGAACAATGTGCTTTTAGGTTATGGGTGGGTCAAGGATTTCTTAGCCGGCTAGCTCTACAGAATTGAGGTCAAGTTAGCAAGAAATTGCTCACAAAAAAATTAGATAGAAGAGGTTAGAAGATTCTTCTAAGAGCGTTAGAAAGGTATGTGTGAGTGATTAACAAAACTCTACTTTATTTGCAAATTCATCTTACATGCCTTTCTCGTGAACAGTTTTTCTAATTTCACCTCTTTAAGTTTTTGTAATTCATTTCTTACTACATTCTTGAGCTCAATTTCTTGAAACTTGGAAATCCCTAGCAGCCTTAAGAAAGAATTTGATTCCATACTAAAGCAGAAATTGTATAGCCACACTAAAAGAAAAGTTTCATCGTTTTCCACTAAATGAAAAGAAATTATTATTGACGACTGGAAAAAAATGAGAGAATAATTTTGGGACATGGAAGAACAAGTATACATTCTTTCTTCATCTTTTTTTTTTATGATTAATACTAAGGAGACTAAATTTAGGGATTAAATTTTGAAACTAAATGATGTTTCACCAATAAAAATGAGCACATATATCAATACTTAAGTAATAAACCAATCATCAATTTACATGTTATTTAATTTTTAAAATTTAATCACCATAGCATTACTTTTATTTTTATTTTTTATGCTTCCTTTCTTTTCCCACCTTTTTTTAACCATGTTCTTGGAATTGAATTCCGATTTCAATAATTAAAGTTGAAAACTCTCTCTCTCTCTCTCTCTCTCTCTCCTATTTATGTAAGCATCACTTCAGTACTTGAACTCTCAGGGCTTCAGCACTTGTCTTCTCTCTACTGGTGTATCTAAGTTTTAGTTTGCCAATACATATTTGACTGCTAATCATTGATATTATTTTAACAAGCAAGGAACACATCCAGTTTAAATCTTAAATGGTGCAGTCCTTATTAGCTTGAGTTATGGCGGACTCCACTGTAACCATAAGGTTCGTCTGTTTCTCTAATTTTAACATCATTTCTTGTTTTCTTTCTTTTTCTTTAATTATGAGAAATGACATAATTATTAAAAGTTGAAAGAAGAATATTGTTAAATGAGAAGGGAGGGGGAGGGTTACTGTTAGATTACTTCTGCATAGTCATAATATTTATTTGAAACACGAACACAAGAAAATAAAGAATGTATTTGTAGTAGAGATTTCGCCGGCTTTATATAGAGTAACCTTCAGGAGAATAATTTTTCATTTGAAAGGATTAGAAGAGAATTAGATATGAAATATTCTTCCTCCTATTTTTGAAAAGAATTAGTATTAATAACTTTTGTTCTTGAGTAGTTCATCTTCTAACACCAATTTGGTCACAATTTTTTCATTTCTTCTTTTAATAAGCCTTAAAAACGACTTATCCATTTCAATCCAATTCTTTATACCAAAGGAGGCTTAATTCTACTCCAACAGATCTTATGTAACAGGAAAAAAAAATGCCCTAAACAACAAAGAAATCTAAAGTAGGGAAGTAATGATTGACTTGAGTGACTCATAATCCTCTTTTGACTTGGAAAACAACTCAGCCAGCTTGTGAGCCATGCATTGTAACTCAATTCTGATAGGATTTCACCTTAAGTGGGTTTGTTGTGCGAATATATTTTTTTAAATTGTTATTATTAGGGAGATGAGAAGAGTTCGAAACTATTATATTAATTTAGAAAACAGAAAAGATTCGAACCGAAAACGCATGTGCAAATCCTGAACAATGACTTCTTAAAAAGTTCTAGAAAAATCACGTAAGTACGCATCTTCAACATATTAGCTTTCTTCTCTTCCGAAAAGTCGTTCTCCCGTTTAAAACTGAAATTAGAGAAAATGAAGTAATAAATCACTTCAGTGATTAAAGTTGTGGTCTTGTAGGGTTTTAAAAATTTATCATGTACTTATAAGTTATACACCCTATAAAATATTGGAACACATTGAAATTTGAAACGGCCAAAACTGATAGGTTATTCATAAATTCATATATATACTTTGCAAAGGTATGTTATATTGAGAATGCTAATCTTGTTCAACAATTTATGAAACCTATCAGTTTTCCTCATATATTTTGGAAATTTTTCAACACTTGTACACTCATATATACAGAGCTATCAAGGGAATGGATTCTTATTTTTTTATTAAAAAAATGGGAATTAGTTGTGGGATCCACATACACCAAATTGAATTAATATCTATTAAGCCTCTCTATATTAATATACAAATCCCTGCAAAAAATCAATTCAATAAAAAAACATTTGCCTTTTTAATTGTCACGATGAAATTTCAATGTTTAAATATACTATTCATCAATTCTTTGAATCTCAATTAGATGCCTCAAACATTTTCGATTTGGCTGGTATTTTACAAGGATGATCAATGAGGTACAACTTAAAAAATAGACGTTTTGAATTGTTAAAGTTCGATATTATGTGCGTTCTAAAATTAATCCCTATATTTTGAAAAAAATAGGAGTCCTTTTCTTTAAATCCATGCATATATATATTTATGGGGAAATGTTGAATAATATGTTTATTGTGTCTTGTACAGTGATCTAGGTCATTGGAATACTTTAGAGGAGGGGGAAGCTTCCAAGGAAGATGGAGGACACAGAAGTAGAACTGCTGCAGAATCGCTAACAGTTGAACCACAACGTCATCAACCAAAAATATTCCTTCCAACCTGGGATATTATCTTTACAGTATCGCCTGCATTTTCTCTCTTCGTTGATCCCTTGATCTGCTATATTCCGTTCATCGTCAAGATCGACGGCCCTGGCTTCTCCTGGGAAGTATCGTTGGTGTGGACATTTTTGGCTTTACGATCAATCGGGGATCTCTTTTATTATATGGACATCGTTGTTTTTGAAGAGATTTTGCACCAAACTTAGTGCCAAGTCTTCTGCAGAGGCCTCCTCCACAAAAACTAATGATGATCGTCTTGCTACAACACTTCGTAATTTCATCCACAAGAAACCAGTTAGGTTCTTAGCCATTCTAGGTCGCATTTGGGTTGCTTTTCCCTTTCCACAGGTAAGACCTTAAGAGAAGGTGATCTCTTGCAAGTAATTAAATTTCACATTTAACAGCATGCATGATACCTAGATTTTATTTGGGAAAAATCAGTATTCGGTCTATAGTTACTAATATTCTTTAAGTGAGACCTTATTAGTTTTTAGATTTTGATCGAAGTCCTAAGCATTAATGTATTAATAAATTTACATGTCAGTTACATAACTTTTCAAAATAAAAATTAGTAATTTACAAGTCAGTTACATAATTCGCCCGAATTCCAAGCCCAAAACTGACACGCCAAATGAAAGTTGAGTTAATCCGAACAGCCTAAAAAGTCAAAAACATCCACTTTCAGGATTTGACAGCAACAAATAATCTATTAACCCTTAAATTACCAATTCTCCAATCATTTTTTTCCGTTAACGTGGCTTCCTCCATTTAACTTTATTGAATATAAAATAACGTAATTCTTGTCCCACATCAACACAGTACTTATCCTATTATAAACAATACCGCACTATACTTTTTAGGATAAATTAGGTTCTAATCCCTCATTTTTCCTTCTCATTAACTGAAACCTTATTAATTTTTTTATCAAGGTTTCTTGACTTTTTTCCATGTCATTATTTGAATATTAATTAAATTTTTTACAAGTCAATATATGTCAATTTTAAAAATAAAAACCTATTAATCATTATATTTAGTATTTTTCATACATTTCTATTTATAATTTGTATCTTTTTTTTTTATTTGACAATTTTCTTTTTAGTTTTAATTTGTGCCTATAATTTTCAATTTTAATACGTACCCATATATTTTTTTTTGTGTGAATGTACTTATGCTAATAATATGTATTTATTTTATGTTTTAAAATATATCAATAATTATTTCTTAAACTATATTAATAATTATACAGGTACATTATTTTTTTGCTTGAGCTATGTGAAGAACAATATTACTTTGTTATTGATTTTTAAGTAATTGTTATATTGTAAAGTATTATTTTGAATTTGTTGAAATTTCATAATTTGTGGATATTGAATATATAAATGCATGAGTTAAATCCCTTAAATGATGCTAAGGACCTCGATCAAACTATTTAGGCCTAATTGGATAAATGGTCATCGTGGTTATAAGGTATTTGGAAGCTAGCCCTTGTGGTAAAAAAATTCGGATTTAAACCCATGTGGTCAAATTCTGTTAGGATTTATGCCCGAAATTAGAACTTCTGTCATTCCTCATTTAGTATCTTGCAGGTGGGTAAGACTAAGATGATCATTTCTATCTCTGTGTGTGTGTCTCTCTATCTTCCAAAAAGCTTTAATTAATGTCTTCAAATTCATCAGACAGAAAATCCGGAAGCCCAAAAAGATCACCGCCAGTTCTGCCAAAGCGACCGCCCCCACTGAGCCTCTCGGACCATGCTTTCAAGCATGTTATCATGAAGATGCAGCTCCATAACCACTTGAACTCCCTCTCTCCCTCCACCGCCTCGTCGTCTCCCCACTCCTAGCCTGACCTCTCCTCCGCCTTCAATTCCCTTACCCTTGACCAACCTGCACTCGATTCCACCTCGTCATCTCCGACGAGCTCCTCCTCCGCATCTTCTCTAAGCTCCCAATTTCCCGCTACCTCCTCAACTCCCTCGTCTGCAAGCGGTGGCTGTACCTCATCGGTCGGCTGGTGAATTCCGTGAAGCTTTTCGATTGGGGGTTTTTGAACTCGGGTCGGGTTTTCGCCCGGTTCCTGAATCTGGACGATGTCAATATTGTCCATGCCTGCATTTGGTCCCCAAGGAATTCGGGGATTCTGGTGACCAGGAAGGCTTTGAATGTTCATATCGACTTGTTGAAATTTTCAGGTCGATGGATCGAGGGTCCACTCCACTGTGTTAATTAGAGTGGCATAATTCTATTTAAAGTGCTTTCTCTTTTCCCTCTTGGCCGATGTGGAACAATGGGATCCAACACTCCCCTGCACATGAAACCCTATTTATGGGTCACACGTGAAATTCCACACATCGACAATCACCGTGTCGGGACTCACCCAATCGCACGAGGTCGTGGCATCTTTGGCCTACGTGAACAATCATGCGGGGCCAATAGGGACCCACCCAATCATGTGGCAGTACGGGCCCGCCCCTTGGCTCTGATACCATGTTAAAATTTTCAGGTCGACGGGCCGAGGGTTCACTCCAACAACACCGATACTGTCCCCACTTAACCAACTACACAATCCTCAGGTGTGGGGTTTTATCACAAAAGGCCTCGGTGTTAGTTAAAGTGGGATAATTCTATTTAAAGTGTTTTCTCTTTTCCCTCTTGGACGATGTGGGACAATGGGTTCCAACACGCTTTTTAGCCCCAATGGATTCATTGAGGAGAGCGATGTGTTGAAGAACAGTGTCGTGGACCATAGGCTAAGATTGTTCGCTTAATCGTACCTGAATTTACGACGAATTACGGTTATCGGTGCCAGTGAAAATGGGTTGGTGAGGATTGCTGTGGAGTGACAAATATTGCAGGAACTGGAGCTGCATTGTTGTGGGGACTTGGCGTTGAAGGGGATTAGTAGGTGTAGGAACTTGTAGATTGTGAAATTGATTGGTTCTGTTGATGGGTTTTACAGGGTTGTGATTTCGGATATTGGGTTGACGATTTTAGCTCAGGGGTGTAGGAGGTTGGTGAAGCTTGAGCTCTGTGGGTGTGAAATGAGCTAAGATGGAAATGATGAAATGACCATCTTAGTCTTACCCTTGAGACTCACCTGCAAGTTACTAAAAGAGGAATGACAGAAGTTCTAATTTCGGGCATAAAATCATAATAAACATTGACAACAGGGGTTTAAATTCGAATTTTTTTACCACATGAGCTATCTTCCAACCTTATGACCACGGGGACCATTTATTCGATAATGCCAACTATTTAAACAAATAAGGTTTCATTCAAATAATTAGGTTGCCTATAGACCAGAACCAAAATGACCCTATTTTTAAGGACATTCCTGTTTTTGTTTTTTGAGTACAACGATATATTTTATACTAAAAAGAGAGAAGAGTTCGGCTAAGCCACACAATGGACAACACGTACATTCTAGTAAGTTTGTCATTTTGCTACCTATTCTTTATTGTGGGGCAAGGTTTGCCTTGTGGGTCTAGGACGAGATTTAAAAATTTGACACACATTAGATAGATTATCAAGTAAAGGCTTTTTAGCTAAAATGGTCTCTAAAATTTGTATAATTCTTTATTTTGGTCCATGAGATTTGAAATCAATAGAAGTGGTCCCTGAGTTTGTCCACCATCAATCATTTTGGTCCTTCAATGAAAAATTATGTTAAATAAAGACTAAAATGACAAAAATACTCTTAATTTAATAAATAATGGGCAAAACGATTTGACAAAAATTAAGGGTATTTTTGTAATTTTATCTTTATGTAATGGAGATTATTCAAGGAATGACCAAAATGATTGATGATGGACAAACTTAAAAACCACTTATATTGATTTTAAATCTCAAGGACCCAAATTGAGGAGTTATGCAAACTTCAAGAACCATTTTACCTATAAAGCTGTAAGTAAATTAATGATTTAATAACATCGGTTAGCCGATAACCCAATTTAACTGTTTGTTCAAATGTCTCCAGGCACTATTGCTCGTTGGAGGTGCTACAGAATTTGATTATTATATGCTTATTTCACTAATTCCATTCCAGTATATACTGAGGGCTTATAACTACTACAAATGGCTTGATCGACGTGCTAACGTAGAGACTGTACCAAGAAGATTCCTTAAAGCTATATTAGACTTCGTTCCTTTCATCATTGCTTCTCATGTAAGTACAAATCTTCATTATTTCGGATATTTGGGGTGAAAAATCCAAATTTTGTTGAAATCTTATTGTTGAGATATATGAGTGTATATATGATAAACTTTTTAAAACTAGCATGGTTCACCATCAACATATTTACTAATATTGTTCTCCACGTAATCACCATACCACTAGGTGCTGAATTTTTCCACTAAAAGCGTATGTGCTAGTAGCATTCAACCTTTCTCATATAAACTGTAAATTATCTTTTTAAGTCTTCAATGTGAGACTATTCTCCAACAATGGATATAGCAATGTTCAAGCATTAACCGGTTAGTAACCAACAATGTCATCTCATAATCTTAACCAATATTCGGGTGAAAAATCTAAATTTTGTTGCAATCTTATTGTTGAGATACATGAGTGTAAATATGATAAACATTTTAAAACTAGCATCGTCCACCATCAACATATTTACTAATATTGTTCTCCACGTAACCACCATACCACTAGGTGTGGGATTTTTCCACTAAAAGCGTATGTGCTAGTAGCATTGAACCTTTCTCATATAAACTGTAAATTATCTTTTTAAGTCTTCAATGTGAGACTATTCTCCAACAATAGATATAGCAATGTTCAAGCACTAACTGGTTATTAGTAACCAACAACGTCATCTCATAATCTTAACCAATATTCGGGTGAAAAATCTAAATTTTGTTGAAATCTTATTGTTGAGATATATGAGTGTAAATATGATAAACTTTTTAAAACTAGCATGGTCCACCATCAACATATTTACTAATATTGTTCACGTAACTACCATACCACTAGATGAGGGATTTTTTCACTGAAAGCGTATGTGCTAGTAGCATTGAACATTTCTCATATAAACAGTAAATTATCTTTTTAAGTCTTCAATGTGAGACTATTCTTCAACAATAGATATAGCAATGTTCAAGCATTAATCGGTTAGTAACCAACAACGTCATTTCATAATCTTAACCAATATTTTTTTAAATCAACATCCAAAGAAGGAAAACTTTCACAATAACAATGCAAATAGTGAAATGATGTCTGATTTGGTCAACTTTTGCAAGCTTGATCTTTGAATTGACCTAAAATATGAGCCGGCTAGTTAATGAGATGACGTTATGTAGCAAGCTTAAATATATAATTAGTATCGTATTAACATATTAACTGGTTAGTTCTTTAGCACTCCTAATATTAGTTACAGTTAACTTCTCATATGATTTTGAATAAACAAAGGGAAAACATTTGAGAATACTGAATAGGAGTAAGAGCATGTTTACTTCTTTAAAGGCCATCTAATTTGAGGGGTTTGGTGCTTTCATTTCATTATCTTTTATCTTTTTTTTTCTATACTTTCTAGAACTTTGATTATTAACCATATCGTCTCGTTTGTCCTTCAGCTTTACGGATCCTTGTGGTACTTTTTTGCTGTGGTACAACATATAACGTGTGAGGGGAAAGAAAACTGTGACTATGGTATATATAAGTATGCTAAATCTGTGTTAACGTCAAGATATCTTCCAAGAAAGATCTTGCACTGTTCTTGGTGGGGCCTGCGAAATCTTAGGTTTGCATTTGTATGACTTTTCATGTTTGATCACTTATTTTGTCTTCCTTGCAGTTAAATTCCCTAAAAAAAATATTCCAGTTTTCTAAAAGAATGTATTCAATAATTAAATATTGCCCTCCATTTTATTTTTTTTGCAGTTCTTTTGGTTCAAACCTTGAGACCAGTTTCGACACGATCCAAATCATCTTTTCTGTTGTGATCTCTATAAGTGGCTTGATACTATTTTTAGTATATCTCAATTCGAGGGTGCAGGTTGGTGCTGTGATCAGTACTCTTTTAAGCAAAAAATTTGTCATTAATTAAGCTTAAAGTTCCTCCATGCAATTTTTTGTGTGTATTCATGCACGTACGTATGTTTTTGGATTCTCGTCATGAAATCACTTTATAGAGTTACTAAACATGCAGGGGTTCCAAAAAGCAGCCGAGCATCGGATATTGAGAAAGAAGAAGGAAAAGACATATCCAGTCTTGATAGAACAAACACTTACCGTTCCTCGTTTCTGCTTGGATTCATTAAAGAAAGTATGTAACTAGAAAATTTTGAATTTAACAGTCAATAAAGATAATATACGTCATGTGTAATTAATTGTATCTAATGAACATTGTATGCAGGTTCCAATTATTGAAAGTATAGATAAAAAAGGGTTGAAAGCAATATCTGAGCATCTAAAGCCGGTGATTTATAATGAGGATGTGTATATTATTAGGGAGGGTGAACCGTTGCGGAAGATGTTGTTCATCTGGCGAGGCACTACTTTGACCTACACAACTAGTAAAGGTGAAACAAATGTTTGCAAATGCCTTGAGAAAAATGATTTATATGGAGAAGAACTTGTAATTTGGGCATTGAAATCTGCCTCATTTTCTGAGTTGCCTATCTGCACTACAACCCTGGTGTCCCAGTCAAAAGTTGAAGCATTTTCAATCACGGCAAGCAACTTGAAGTTTGTAATCGCTAAGTTTTGGTTGTTCTTTAGAAGGGATCTTTCTCACTCTCTGGTGGAGTGTTTTGCAGCTTCTTCCATACAAGTAGTCTGGCGCCGCCACCACTCAAAAAAGCTAAGAGATCAACTGGCTGGGACAAGTGGAGTATTTTGCAGCTTCTTCCATACGAGTAGCCTAGCGCCGCCACCACACAAAAAAAGCTAAGAGATCAACTGGCTGGGGCAAATGTGTGTTTTGAGTTGGTATCGCTTTTGTTTTGTGTGTGTGTTTTAAGTTGGTATTGCATGCTTTGGTTCCTCTTTATGTTGCTTTACTCTCTTTTGGCCTTGGTTTCCCTTCAATTCCGTGGTGTGTCCTACATTTTGGTTTGTGGTATGAAAAGTGTGTAATCATTGACATTCGTGAGAACGATATTATGTATGAATTAAAAGCTCAAATTGTGGATCATCTTCTTCAAATTGAACATGGAGTAGTGGAACTGGTGTTTATGTTCATTAATATTTGTAGCATAATGTGAATGGTGGTGCTGGTATTAATGTTGTAGGCGACCACTAAAAAGAAATAAATCAAACTAGTATGTCCACAAACAAAGTATGTGAAATTTTTTATTTTTGTTTTTAAAATTGAAGAAGAGAGTGAGAGTGAACTTGGGAGTGGGGGAGAAGGAGAGATGTTTTATTTTTATTTTTTTTAATTTAGAGATGTTAAAATCATCTCTAGGTGAGGCTTAAATAAAAAATAGAAAATTTTTGTTATGTAAAATTACGTTACTACCCTTCATTTTTTTGTTGTGATAGAAAACTAAATAGTCTTTTCATATTTTTTTGGTTGACAAAGATGATTTTATTAATATGTAGTTTAGATTCTTATGTTGTAACATAACGGGTTAGGGTTTATATAGCTACTATAACTCTGTTGTTTTTATAACGACTATGAAGAGCGCCAACATGCAAGCTATAGCTTGGGCCAGGTGCACAATTGGCTGGAATTCATGGTTACGGTATCCTATCACCATAAAGATATTCAAGATTGTTGAAAAATATTAGTATTTAAGTTTATTTTAGTATTTGGATTTTGTTTGTTAGTTTAGGATTTGGGCTTAGCCCATCGAAGTTAGGGGCTCTTAGGTTTAGTTTCCTATAAATATAGTTTGTAATTTAGTTTAAGAAACATGTTAGTTACAACGTAGCGTCTTGGGATTTTATATTCGTTTCGGCATTCTCAGTTTATTTAATAATATTATTATTATTTTGTAATCTTGTTCATTGCACACTCTGATATTCAACTTGGTATCATAGTAGGTTTGATCCTTCGGGATTTAATCTGCTTCTGTTTTGTTCGTATCAATTTGTCTATCTCGTTGTTTGTTTTGTCCAGTTTCATTCCGTGAAACTTTTTTGTTTTTTGGTTTGGGTTAACCTTTGTTTGTCGTTTAAAAAAAAAAAAGAATCTGTTGAAGTTTGGAGACGGAATCGTGCCAAGCCACCAGCCTGCCGCTGCCCCTGCTGTTGTCCATCGCTGTGCTTGTTCCAATTCCCTTCCCAACGATCTGATCACTTGCACCGTGATCAGACAAATTCACCACCATCTCGCACTTTTCTTGAACTTCCTGACGAACCCAGATCTTGAGTTCTCCTCATGTGCCTCCATCTAGAAGCCCATATTTGAATATGTTGCTCAACCCATTCAATTTGCCGATGTTGTACCCTCTGCCTTAGAACCACTCTCTTGCTGCTGTTTTTTCGCACTGCCGCGGCACCAATGCGCCACAAACCTCCAGTTTGATTTTGTATTGTCCATCAGAGCTTAAGTCAAAGAATGATTAAATAAAGACAATGGCATGCCAAAGAAAAAAATACCCGTCTTTTAAACTTTAGTAATGCATATTCTTATTGTGGTTTTTGTTTTTTCTAAAGACCAGATTAAGAAAATGGTCAACACCAACATCCTATGTAATCAGATCATCGCAAAGACTAAAATATAAGCTCACAAATATAATCCTAACACAATCAGATCATTGCCAACAAAAAATATCCATTATTAAAAACATAAGTGCATTGAGAAGGTGTAAAAAAGAGTAATGACCATAAAACTAATGATTTCATTCATCTGTCACATAGAGACAAATTGGTTTGTGGGCTTCATATTGAGGGATAAAGGGACTTATCAAAATAGATCCCACTAACCTCTCTATTTAAAAACATAACATGATTTAGGTGATTAAAACTCATTTGAACAATCAGGAAAAGTTGAGTGAAAACAATTAACTAATTAACCACTTGCACCCTGCTCACAGTGAAAAGCAATTTCAAATCAATAGCCATATGAATCCAGATTTATTAACATGGATGATTGGCTGATAAGAATCCAGGGTACAGATGAAACCTTGCTAAACTTGGCATTTGGTAATTCAAACAATTAAATGAAAGAACAAAATTATGTCCAATCATTCCCAAACAACTAATTTTGCCATAATTTTCTTCTTTCATTCAATTGTTTCAATGACCAAATGGCTAGTTTGCCACGGTTTCATCTGTGCCCCAGATTCTTGTAAAACATGAAGTTTAAAGAAACATGAAGCTTTAAAGTAACAGAAGCATAAATGAAGTAAAATGGCAATTGGGTTAACAAATCTTGGAATTAAACTAAATCACAAAATGAAAATCACCTCCAATAAATTGACATTTTATATTTTTGGCTGGCAAAAAAATATGTATCTTTGATGGAATATGAAAATAAAAATGCAAATTGACAAAAGCATTGAAATTGAAATGCACAGAGGCAAAGCAAATTAGAAAACCTTAAACCAAATGACAGCCTAGAAATGGAAGCAAATGTGAACTGTTTTTAATCATTTAGGTTCAAATGATTGGCTGGAGAAAGGGCCATTCTTTGAATTTACATGATAAAAAACAGAACATAATTTAGGTGTTCAAATAACCGAAACTGAGAAAAACAAATTACAAAAAAAAAATTGAGAAAAACAATTAAATTGAAATGCACAGAACAAAACAAATTGAGAAAAACACTTAAATTTCTTTATGCACAGAAGCAAAGCCAAGCAGAAAAGCTTAAACCAAATCACAGCCTGGAAATGTCAAGGCTTCAAAGCATAGACATAGTCTAAATCAAATCTAATCAAACGAAATTAAAGCTAATTAAAAAATGACTACATTCAAACATTTCACGAACGAAAGGGCGAGGGAGGGCAGATTATAGCATCGTGAACGAACATACGAAGTGAGAGGCAACAAAGGTTAATCTCACATGTTAAAAAATTCTAAAATCGCACTATCTGAAATGGAAAGCATAGGGAAACAACGTATCGAAGTTCAGGACATACCAAAGTCTTGATCAAAAGGTAAGTCTCAAAACATTTCACTTTCATACCTCACGTACTATTTTATTTCAATTTCACCACCATCTCGCACTTTTTTTGAACGTCCTGACGAACCCAGATCTTGAGTTCTCCTCATGTGCCTCCATCTAGAAGCCCATATTTGAATATGTTGCTCCATTCAATTTGCCGATGTTGTACCCTCTGCCTTAGAACCACTCTCTTGCTGCTGTTTTTTCGCACTGCCTTAGAACCACTCTCTTTGGCAAGCCAGTTTGATGGGGTCTCGTTTTGACGTTGGGGAGATCCATAGATTTGGATAGAGTCTCGCTTATAGATAGAGGAAAAGTATGCGCGCTAGCAAGCTACGGCTTACGCAATTAATTGGATTAGATAGCCCTTCAGGCAACCAACCAAATCCGGCACATCAAATTCCGATCAAGTTGATATAAGGCATATTATTAAAAAAAAATTGTATTAGTTGTATCAGTTGCTATGTAGAGTTGTGTATCTTAGAAAGAGCCATGTTTATGAAGAGTTGTATCTCTTTAGTAGTTTGGGATTGTGTCTGTAACTCTTAGACATAATTCAAGGATTGTGTCTTTTATGTTTATGGTGCTATTGTAATTATAAATAGTCCATGTATGTAACAAATTATTGAATCAATTCTAAAAAAGGCATTCAATTATCAATAAAATTTCAATCTTGTCCTTCAAACCCTCACTCCCATATTCTCTCATATTTTTTCCTTCCGCAATATAATTTTAAAATGTAATTTTATTCACACATCTTTTTTTCTTTTTACAGACTTTTTTTATTTTTTATTTTTTGATCAAATAAATTAAAAAATAATAATTAACAAGAGTCGCCATAAGATAAAAATTAAAAATGTGACTATCAATATCCAATTCGAAATTGCTGCTCTTTCCTCCAACACCTATCACATCCATCGAGTGGAGTCCGCGCGGAGCCTCTACTTTGGCCGTGACGGTATCTGACAACAATCAGCTGACGTAAGTAATACATAGAGACAAGATTGAATTGATAAAAAAATCTTTGACCTTCCTGATGTTTATGTACGAACTCAAAATATTTGTCATTTTTTTTTTTTGAAAGAAAGGTAATATCATTACCAACAACACGCCAAAGTTACAAAGACAGAGGTCCAATTACAACACAAACACAAAATAAGATATGGACCCCCAAAACAAAGCCCAAACAAAGGTTTTGAGCCCATAAACAGACAAACCAAACAGCAAACCCTACTCCTGCAAGAACAGCCGCCGCTGAAGTATCTCCGAGATCCCGCCGGAAACCGACTCCATAGGTCCATCCTTCCAACTTCACATAATTGATGAAAGAGATGACTCCAACATCCTCCAAAAAGCACCACGCAAATCGGAACCACAACCACAAACCAAAGGAAGCTAGTGAGAGATAACCCACTAGCAACAAATCCACCGAAGGCAATTGAGCCACCAAAGAAAAATCCATGGGAGGTGGTGGTGTGAACACCCGAGCCGAAGCTCTACGCACTTCCCGAGGGAATCGCGTCGAAATGCGTTGAAAGAGTGTGGTTACAGATCCGAAAAAATATGGGGTTGAAGAAAGCCAGAGCCAAATTTGATGGGCAGGAAGAGGAAGGAAGAAAACCATGGAGGTGAAAGATGGGAGAAGGGAAAGATCGAAGATTATCAGTGGAAAAGACGCAGGAAAATTGACCACAAGAGGAAAAGAAAACAGGGAAACCGACAGCCACCGACCATGGCCAGAGCTAGGGTCGACGGCAGAGAAGGGATGGTGGAGTTGGAAACTACCATACACAGGTGATAAGAAACTCTCACAGTAAAGGAGAGAAGACCTCTCACGAAGGAGAGAAACACGAGTTGGCTTGGAAGTTTGGAACCCTCTAGTAATATTTTAAGTACCTAACTTTTCAGTGAAAAAGCGCGAACTAGTGCCAGCCAAAGCGCGGTCTAGAATTTCAACAATTTAACAAAAGGAAAACTAACGAAAAAGATTTGAAAACTAACGAAAAATACTTAAAGGGTAAAATGAATAGTATCATGTTTGACTTTTTAGTGTAAAAATGTAATTTTTCGTTAAAGTAAACAGTACTGCGAACT